TCATTAAAATATACACTAAACTTTGGATATTTCTATATCATGTGAGAGAGCACTTTTTGAAGTAGTACTTGAAAATTGGCCTCTTCCGTTTCCTGCAACAAAACTCTTAAGTGGTGATATAGTTCAATTCGGTCTTCATTTTTCTCAATATTCGCAATCAATCCTTTCCGCCAAGCTTTGTCTAAATGCCAAGTACAATACAAGTGCTTTGTTTCCCCACGACCAAAGACCTCAATCCAAGCTGTAAAACATTGATCAGCCATATCTGACATGAATATGATTGGATTAATGGGACCTATTATTGCATGTATAGGCTTTAGAAACTCTCTCAAAAGGGCTGCATCAGTTCCATTAGCAAAAGCCCATGCCACTGGGATTCCCTCACCATGATCATCTACAACTAAAACAGTAATGAGACTGAAGTCATATACAGTTGTACTGTGAGTGTCATCCATAAATATTACTTTATCACAATATTTGAGCATCATGTCACGCTGGTATTCGGTCTGAATAGCAAGTAGAAAATCTTCATTTCCCAAATTATCACATTCATTCTCCTGGTTGATACCTTGATTTTTAAAGACTAAGACTGGATTATATATATGGCATTTCTTGCATTTCAGCCACCCATGCCGACACACTAAACAAATCATTCTGATGCTTTTCAATACTATGTAGATTCAGTTGGGATTGAATATTGTGTACGTCTTGATGTGACATCAAATGTTCTCTTTTGATGGAACCAGTTACTTCATCACGGACATCATCCAATATTCTATCAATGGAAACAACCATTTGTAGCATAGCAGCAATACGCATTGTTGTTTCAGATGGTATTTTAAGATGACATATCCAAAGTGTGTCCAATATGTTGACTGCAATGTGTCACCGTCACTTTTCCAGTTACTGTATCCTCTGACACCTGCATGTTTGCTGTACAGAACTGGTTTATTTTACAGGAACCTTGGATTTTAAGAACTCTAAGGCCTTTTCCCTTGGCTTTAAAGACTCCAGAGCGATGGCAATAATAGTATCGTTTGCAATTCAATCCTTGAAGACGGCAACCACTATCTTGGACATAAAGTGAATCAGATGACTGCTCTTCTTGCTTTTTCCACAGATAAAACTCTTTCATAGATTCAAATGAGAGTTTATTGATTGGAACTTTCTCATTGTGGGACTTCTCCAGATGATGGATCAAACTAGTCAATGTTATAAATCTATATAATTATATAAAAGTCAAAAAATTGATAAAGGTACAAAAAGCCTACTTATAGGTCTACCCAAAATACAAAGCAGGTAAGTGAATGTAGTGCTACGTAGTATTACTTGTAGCTGCTCCTCTCCATCTCTCTTTCCCTCCCCACTCCAATTCGATCTCCAACATACTTCTCAGAGCAGTTAGGGCACGAGATTCGACTTTCTCTTAAGTTTTCCTTAGATGATTCATCAGGGTGCTTCTTAGCAATGTGTTTGTTTAGGGAAGACTGAAATTTGTAGCAAGAACTACAATGAGGACATTGTTTACTTGCCTCCATGCTCCACCATATGACTAGGTCACGTGATATAAGCCACACCTTTCACTGTGTATGGCAAAAATTCGGTAGTTTACGAATTGGCTCGTACTGTTTCTAATGGCTAGTGTCTTGCTTATAGCCACCATTTTATCATGGTGACCACACCCGCTTTCAATGAAGATTAGGCTTTTTAACTTTAATAATAGTTAAACGACCTGCCCGTACATACAGACAGACAGAAGTTTTCTCGGGTCCTCACTTTTTTACTTGACCAGACTGACTGACCGATCCAATTTCACTCTTTTACTGACCGACCATCACTGACCAAGGAGCACAAGTAGCATTGTAAAAAGGCTTTCACTGACTAAAATTTTAGCCTAGGAATGAGCAGGTTGGTAGGCCCTTTGAGCAGTTGGTAGGCCTTTGGTTATACTGAAGACTGTACTACTTGATTAAAATTCATGAAGAGGCGTGGTCAACACCCACACACTTCCGGTTTAACAGTCACAACTGAAGCGTGACTTGGTGGGTGTGGTCAGTGGATGTGGCCACAAAATGGCTGCCAAATTTTTTATTTTTAAAACAAAAACAGCAGCAGCCCAGAAACCAGAGAAAACAAGTGACAAAAACTAGAGAGATGACCTGACAAGCAAAGACTTGCGTGTACTAACAGCAGGAAAATGTAATTATGTCTTAAATTTACTGTTTCTTTAATTATTATACAAATGTTTATGTCTTGAAATTATTTACTGCTTTTTTAATCATTATAGTAGTAGGTATGTAGGTAACTAATACTGTGTTTACACTAGCTTTTTTAACTGAGCCAGCCCTGTTTAAAGTTGGCCAGCATGGTTTCATTTGACAGTGTAAACAGTAACCAAACTGAGCTAAAGTGAGCTGGGCCAAACCAGACCAGCATGGTTAGTACAGGAGGGCCAGTTCAGCCTGGTTCAGCACGGATTGGCCCACTTCTGTAGTGTAAATGCAGCATAAGTGGTACAGGTAGAGAGACACTATGAGCGGGTATTGTTCTACTATACTGGAAATTATATTGTTAAATGCATTCTGGTGTGGACCATCAAATTTCTTTCTCCACATGAATTCGGGCAGGTATGTATGGAACAGCTGAGAATACATAGTTTGCATTTTTCTCACCATCCGTTTGCACTGACTCGACATTAATTCTACAGACTGGGTGTGTGCTCCTGTTACCGGGTCAACAAAATGTTGGGAGTGGTTGACAGTATGATGGGTATAGTTCTGACCCAGTAACCTATCCAAGCCATTATATGCTCCCCACAAATCACTGTATATGACACTCCCTATACAGAAAAGAATCAAAATTATAACTGAACATGTCATATTGTACCTGGCCGGATAAAACTAGTGATAATTGGAACTAATGTCAATGTGTCTCTCGTGTCAACCTTAACAAGAAATGAATTCCCTGTGTATGTACTTACAGAAGGCTATTATAATTTTGTTATGGGATAAAGTTCTAATATATATATTATAAAGTGCATAGAAATAGCTGTATGGCAAAATATCATATAAATTGATGGACAAACTATGTAACTGAATACACTGCATGCTTTTTTTACAATTGTAATAGTATGAGTTTTCTAATTTTACATGTGATTGCTTGCTGTAGTTGTTATTAGTAGACTGAAGACTGAATTGGAATAGTATCTGCATAATGTTTATATCAGCGGACTAAATCCATTTTTCATTGTCTTTCTTTAGTGCCTTTGGACTACTTTCGTTGTTAGCTTTCTTGTATGTATAATTATTTCTCAGAGTATTAGGAATGAGATTTAAATGAACATTACAGCACAACAATTAATATTACCTAACAAGTGTGACAGGTAAATATCAGCTCTACATG